TAAATCACAGGAAAATGTGAGACATCACTCACTGTGATGGCCAGCTGATAGAAAATTACTAAGTGAGAGCTTACGTGAAACCCAACCTTGAAATTCAGTCATATTTTCTTTTGTACAACTATCTTGGATTTCCTTAGTGCTCAAGTAATTCCAGAGAAAACTGCCTTCTACAACACAAAAGCAGCATTCTTACCTGCACATTTATATGTTGCTTTTCATCAGCTCTAAGCTAAAATGCAGCTCAACTCAAAACTTAATTAGACTCAGTTGAAGAGGTAGTAGATTGTAACAGGTTTATTATTTTTACAGGGTTCTGAAGGCACTTCCAGTGAGTAACAGAACAGTGGACATGCGGAAAACATCCATAAATCTGGAACAATTCCACTGGATTTCAGCCCTTACGTCTCAATGTAAGCTGGACACCCATACCAGGCTTCCTTAAACTGTTCAGCTACCTGAAGGAGCCACATAACATTAAAACTGGAGCTGGACTGATCATTCAAAATTAATTCAGCCAGAACATTAGTGAGCTACATTTTCTTCTGCCGCTTCTAATTTGTGTGTGTGATTTTTGCTTCCTTTATCACTTCTACAAACAATTCTAGCCCATGGCTTTTCACTAAAGCTTGTAAGATCTGAAGTTTGAGCAGAGCAGATCCTATTGCACAGTTGATCAGAGTCCAAGCCACGAAGAATACCAGCTTGTTACAATACGGACCCTGGTTTGCTCAGGGCAGTGTGGTGGGTTGACCCTGGCTGCCACAGAAGTCTTTACCCAGTCACTCACTCACTCCCTGCCAAATAGAATGGGGGAAAAGATTCAGAAGGGCAAAAGTGAGAAAAACTTGCAAGTCAAGTTAAAGACAGTTTAATAAGTGAAGGAAGGAAAAATAAACCCAACCAACTGATACAAAAGCAGTCACTCACCACCTGCAGACTGATGCCCAGCCAGTCTCCAAGCAACACCTGCTGTGGAAAAACTGCCCACCAAGTGTTTTGTTTTGTTTTTTTTCTGAGTGTGACGTTATATGGTATGAGGCATCTCTTTGGTCAGTTTGGATCAGCTGTCCTGGCTGTGATCCCTCCCAGCCTCTTACCCAACCCAGGCCTACTCGCTGGGGCAGCAGACTGAGGGATGGAGAAGGCCTTGAGACACTGTGCAAGCATAGCAGTAACTAAAACACTGGTGTGTGTTATCAAGACTGTTTTGGTATGAGGAAAACCAATTCCATCCAAACCAGACCCTGCACAGGCAGATAATAAGGGTCCATGTAGCTAACTCCAGAGGCTGACAGACCATTGCCAGTGCAGTACTGCTGCTATTGCATGCAACAAAAACTGCTTGGCCTTCTCTCTATTCAAAACATTCAATCTTTACTAAAAGTTTGGGAAACGAAGGCAGGGAAATAAGCCACTCCTAGAAGCAGAAGCAGCGATTATTAATCAGGGCTGGTGCTTGTCTTGAACCACAGTCCTCCACTCTTCATCCACCAGCCCCATTCTTCTATTGCGTCACTTGCTAATCAAAGCTCTTTGAATTCAATTTCCATCTCCTTGTTACTAAATTACTATGACATCATGTTGTAAACTGAGGTTCCAAGCACTCATGCTTTGTGTTGTTATCTTATTGTACTGGGCTGCTACAGAGAGAGGATGAGCACAAAATACCCAGAAATCACATAAGTGGCAAGGTAGAGACTGTAAGACTTCCCCAGACCAACTAAAACCAGATGGATTTCTTCTCACTGGACTATGGATTTCTTCAGGAGGGAAGGTGAAGGCTAAGGTGATTTTTTGAGGGCTTTTTTGCGTAGCCTTTGTTGGCTCTTTAAAAGTCAGTAGTAGTTTTAGCCCTGAGTTTCCCGCTCTGAATCTAATTTTCCCAAGGCCTAAAAAGTGACTTACCTGGAGATCATAAAGGCTGTCACAAAGCTCAACAGCCAGGATTAGAACCGTGTTTTCTACTTCATTTTCTATTCTTTCAAGTCAGTGCAAAATGTTACCAAAACGCATTAGTAACAAATGACATTAGGGCTTAAGTAGTATAGGCACAGGAGCCCATCTAGATACACCCATCAATGTCATGTATAGCTGTTCACAGCACGATAATAAATGTCTAGGCAAGTAACAAACACCAAGCAAAAAAAGGTCTCCAGTGTATTTTAATAAGTGAAACAAACCTAAAGGTTTAAGCTGGATTTTAGCAGCAGTTAGCCTTTCCCCTGACCCAACGCAAGGTCTCTTTGCAGGGATGCTAAGCAGAAGATTTGCTAAATGCCATGTTGGGGTTAACTCTGGAGACTGCCAGTCCATTGCCTGCTTATATAAAGCTTCCCAGGAGTCAGGCTGGTAACCTCAGGCTTCACCAAAGCCACTCCTGATCCACAGAGCTAATCTCATTTCCTGGACCATAAAATCAGCTGTACTCCAAGGGTTACAGCCGATGGATTCGAGACACAACCACCAGTTTGCTGAGTGGCTGCTGCTCCTCAGCTGTTAGGTACTTGGTGGCTTTTAGGCTTTGCAAGAGACTTAGCTGAACAATGCTGCCCTCCAGTAGGGGACACCAGCCTGATGTCACCTTCCTCACTGCCCCTAAACAAGCTCACAGTGATCACCTTAGCACATGTTCTGGAATACGAGGGGTTTGATATAGCATTTGGGTTTCACAAAAGGCAGGAGAGCTGAAATCCTGGTCAAAAAACTGCCTGTGTAATACATCCCTGCAGGTCCCATGGGTCTGCATGCTCAAGCACACATACATGTTGTGAGGTAGCTGTTTCTGCTAAGGCGAAGAAGAACATCACCTGTTTACAGTGCTTTGGCTGTCAGCAGAATGGGTATTTTCAGCTTTGGTGGAAAGCAATAAAGCTAGATAGGCCTGAGGTCCTGCTCAGAGTGTACCTGCCAGGTGCTGGGCTTCAAAACTGATGCCAAGTTGTTCCTCTCTCTGAGTTTTCAGAACTCAAGTGCCAGCAGCTGGGCAGTCCCAGGCTGTAGGCACAGTACAGGAGGTGTGAACATGTTAAGCTTCAAGATCTTGGGGGCTGCTTTTCCTTTTAAGCAGTAGACAGGGAATTAGTACCACTTGCCTGTCATCACTGGTGAGAAAAGTAGGTGTGATATTCCCCTCCCCATCTCGCCTCGTTTCAATTAAATAGAAGGAGCCCAAGGTCACACCCTTCTTCGGGATGTGTGCCCATTCCATTTTAAGTGCTTCCCTTTGTTTCCTGCTCAAAGTGGTGACATAGAAACAATGCCATCTCCCACCATGAAATGACAGCTTGCTCCAGCCCTTTCATAACAGAAGCCCTTGAGGTTTGCACCAAGGGAGCCTGATGAGGTTAGTAATCACTGCAGCACAGGGAAAGCATTTATACCCCCTGACCTTTTATAAATGGTTATACTGGTTCTGCCTGTGACCTTGGTGAGGTTTACACATACGGCTTTCTTCCAGCACTGAGGGAGAAGAAATTGAGGCAGCAAACAAAGTATAGGATTTTCCTTAAACCCTAGCTTTTTTGGAGACATAAGCTGTGTATTTTTTTCAATTTGTGTTGACAGTCCTGTGAAAGTTCTCTTCAACAGTTGTTACTACACAAGAGCTGTTCACTTCTTGGTGATTCACTGCCTGTTAGCTGTTGCTGTAGTGGGAGCTGCTCTGAAAGACAGGCTGGAAAGGACCTTCCAGTCTTCTATTTCCAAGACTCCTTCTGAGTCCTTCTGTCCTATTCTCCTTTGGCAGCCACCTCACTCCCACATAGTGACAGCACCTGACATGACCTCTGGTTAATGACTTACCTCCAAAAGCTGAAGCAATAATTTCTGCCAAGTCTCACTATGCTAAATGACTTTAGGAGAGAGGTACTTTGTGACCAAGGGGGTCCCTACTCACAGGTGTGACTGAAAGAATCCCAAACCTTTTCTTCAGTACTTCACATCTTGGGTTACAAGATACCTGGGAAGCAAAACCAGGTATCATCTCTTTTCTTTCCTTAGAGCCATCTTTTGTTTTAATTACCTCCTCCCTTCCTTCAGCAACAGCACTTCATGTGAGTCCCCTCTCCTATAAGAGGGAAACTGGGAAACAGAAATATGACACAATTACCTTAAATTACCAAAAATACTACTTTTATGGAAGAAAAGTGAAAATTTGACGTATTCCAGATCTGAAGCAGCAAGAGACACATAGTGAGATTATAGGAGAGTTTTCAGTGACCAAGGCCCACCCATAGCCTTCAGAGAGGAAAAATAATCATGTTACTGCCCCTCCTCCCAGCTTCACAGCAGTTTATATCCTTTAATCTCATACATTGAATTTTCTGTTTGCTTGGGCTTTGGAGATACAACCAACCCCCATGTGCAGCTAGCACAAAGCAAGATTCTCCCATTACTTGCTGGTCTGATTCTGGCCACAGCCATAAACACCTGCCCTGCTTCTGTATACATGTGTACATGGATCAGATATGAATTTGGATGTGCAACACAGCTCCAGCCGTGCTGTCTGCAGAAGACAAACTGATCCGCAGTAATGAAAAGTGCAGAAACAATTCAGTGTTTTCCACTTGATCCCAGGCAATGCTTCTTGGCATTTCTTGGCACATCCCTCTTTGCACACCTGCCTCACAACCCAGAAGCTACTGAGTTCAAGCCTGCTTTTGGTCTCCAAGGCTCTTCTTCCTGTGTTGCCAGCAACATTCATCAGTACAGTACACATTGAACTTCTGTAGGGCGCATTGCAGGAGCCCCAGTATCCATCTAAAACATCTCAGGTTTGTTTTTTTGCCACCAAAAAGCCAATATCAGCTGCATGTCTTGCAGATAACATCCGTTCTTCAACCTGGAGCTCCACGTCTTTATTTTTATTTGATTGATTCTTCTCCAGTCCCATAGTACACAAGGACCCTGAATGATTTTGTGTTTGAGCTCCATCTGGTGCATCTTGGCTGCATGTAGCAACACCTCAGTGCCCATCCCTGCTGTGTAAGTCCTCCAACAGGTCAAGACATCACCATGTCCCAGCGCTGACTCATGGCTGTACTCTCACAAGGGTTGATGACAAGCTCTTTGGTACTCTCATTTGTGTCCCCAATCGTCTCGGTGTCCAAACAGAAGCGTGAAGCTATGTGTTCAATGTGTGACCCAACTTTAGCCCACCGCTGAGGAGAGACACGCACAAGAGGAGAAACAACGGTGAACAAGCTTCCTCCTCATTATAGTTCTACTATACTGTTCCAGCATCAAGTGGACAGACATCACTAAGCCTTTGTGGCCTGATGCTGGGAAGTATGGGGTCCCCAAACCCACACTGAGCAGAGCACATGCTGAGCAGTTCTCCCATCAGAAGCACACTCATTTAAGCTCAGCCTCTGCCAGGCTTCAGGAAGATAATATATTACTAACAGCTTTTTCTCCCCAGGTCACTGGTTCAAATGCCAGCTCGATGATTAACTGCAGAGAAATGTTAGCATCTGCTGGCTGACTGGCAGCCTGTGTGAACTAAATTGCCAGTTTTGGTCTGACTTCTGCAGTTAAGTATCCAGATCACCACCCGCACTAATAGACATCCTTATCAACACACTCATTTAAGAGGCAAAGGGCTGAACAGGCCAGAGTCTGTACTCCCAGACAGACTTTACTTCTCAGATGAAGTCAGAGCCACGATTTGACATGCAGTAATACTAAGCGGAGAGAAAGGGAGCTTCCAAGAAAACGGGGATCGATGAAAGGGCTCACCTGCTTGTTGTCCCCTTCTTTGCAAGGTGACAGCAGCACCTGGGAACCAGGGAATAGGGTGTACACAGACAAACACAGCTGCTGCTGGCGGACTTGGTGGTTGTATGTGTATGTCCACTCCTGCAAAGAGGAAGGAAATAAAAAAAGGGAGGTGAGAGATCAGGGTCGATTCTTAGTATTCTTCTACCCATAAGGCAAACACTTTGGCTTGGATCCTGCCACCTCTCAAACCAAGCACAGACCTAATTGATTTCAAGAGGCAGCAGGCCAGGTAACTTTCTGTGAGGAAGAGCAGAAGAAATGCTTTGCAGCTGGCAGTGGAAGAATGGGTAAGAGGAGGTTGCAAACATTTGCAACTCTTTCCCAAATATCACGAAAGTCAGGGATAAAGCTCCACTTTATACCAAAGGAGCGGGACCAAACTCCAAACATTTGCCATGCTGCTTTGCTGTGACCACTGCTATTCCTGCTCCCCTGGGCTGTCTTGGAGGTTTGTTTGGTTTTTTTTTTCTGATGCTGCTTTTCACGTTCACCTGCTCTTTATCAGCTCCTCAGACCAAGATACAGACTTTGGAGGAGCAGAGACTCTCTGTCCTGTGTAAAACCTAACATACAACAGGGACTCTCTGGGATCATCCTCTTTTTCATCCATGGATGTTTTACTTGGGAGAAAAAGAGCAGCTGCTAAGTTTGACAAGGATTTCCAAATGTGCTGGACAAAGCACTGTGAACATACACATACACTGCTTAGTCCAGGAGTATTTTGCAGAAGTTTATTCCAACATTTATTCCATTTGAATGTTTTCTGCCATTCATCTGTGCTCTTATTACCAAAAAGCACATCCTGAGGATCTGTGCCTGCCCAGGCAAGGGATGTCTCCCTCCTATTTGTGTGTGTACACAGGCAGACAAGATCTCCTTTGGCTTATGGGAAACCATAAACTATGCTTTTACGTAACCCTGGAGAATGACTTCTGGAAGAACATTTTTGCTTATAACTTTGTGTGGGCATTAAAATTAGAAAGAGCGGGGCTAGAAGGGGGTTTCTGAGGGCCTTTAGCCAGGGTGCAAAACAGAATCGACTCTGGCCATGTAAATGATTCTGAGACAGCCATCAGGTGAGCCGCAGTGGGAGCAAATAGAAAAGAAGTTGCTGAGTTCTGGCAGGGTGGGTGAGCAGGACTGGAGGACAAGCAGAAGGCTGGCTTCACTAGCAGTGAAAGAAAGAAAAAGTGCAGAGAGAAAGGAAAACAACTGAGAGCTCAGATATGGAGGAGTCAGAAGCTCCAGGAGGGGTGAAGTGAGCAGGGGTCTTGGCAACAGAGGGGAAGGCAGTGCTCAAACATATGGGAGTTAGGCTGCATCTGGAAAAATGAAGGATAAAACATGCTGCTGGGAGGCTGCAACGCTTTCTGAGTGCCAGAGAGGGGAGTGAAGAATGGCTGTCCTAATCTCAGAGCTGGGGCACCTGCAGCTCCCCCTGACTTTGAACAGTGAAGGCTTTGGGTTACATTAGCATGAGTTATTAGAGCAGGGAAATGCTTCCACCCCTTTGGTATCTGTCACCATCAGCAGCTCTAACTCCTCTCCCTGACTTCAAAACAGACAGCTACAGGCATTTAATTCCTGGGAATATAAATCCCACTTCATTCAGGTTCTTAGCCACCTGGAAGGGAAAACACGCTTTTGCACAGCAGACCCCAATCCACAAGGACTTCACACTGTGATCCTCACACCCCGCATTTCTTAACCTACTACTTCCCACCAGCTAATGGAAATCAAACCTGGCTTTCCGAACAGCCTGCCCATAGGGTTCGCAGTGAGAGCTGCCCAGGATTTCGGCACATAACAAGCACTCATTTTCAAAGCTGCAATCTGTACCCAAAGGGCCTTCTGGCAACTACTTCTTCTTTGTCAGATGGAGCAGAGTTTACGTGATCCCACAGTGAACACGTTTCAGACATCCCAACTATGCACACTGTCAGCTGCTGTGTAAACCACCAGCCTGGGAAATCAGGTGCCAAATTATTCCTGCATCTGTGAAGAACGAAGCCCTACGGGGCAAGCTCCAACACCTGTTCTTGGCGCCAGTGCTGCTACAAGCTGCTTTGAAAACCTGCTTTACATTTTTAACCAATTGTTCATCATTTTAGCTCAGGGCAGGGCTGGAGCTGAGCTCCTGAGGCTCCTCAGCAGCAGCAAGTTAATCCTGTAACTTGTGTATAAGTTGAATTCCCCAGCTAACTCAGGCCATGGGATTTTCACATTTTTTTGCTTTGACCTCTTAATCTCCTTGCCTTGCTGTGGCATCTCATGGAGGATTGCTCCTCCCAGAGGTTCCCCATGCTTTTTTTCCCGATCAGGCTCTGTTCAAGCCTTCACAATATGCACATCCTCTTAAGGCAGGACCATCCTCTCAATCAGCAAAGCACCATGAGTTAGACAGGGTGGTGGCAACCATCTCTCCTAAGCTGTTGTTCATCATAAGAAGTGAGGCCTTGAGAGCTCGATATCTGCATCTGTTCGATAGCTGACACTGGATCCTCCTCTCTTGCCCCCAGGCTGTCCTGCTACTGTCTTTATCTAAACTGACAGATTTTCACATGGCTCTTCTATTTTAGCAGAATGGCTTTTTATGGAAGCCACCCCTGTTGAAAATGTTTTATCCAGTTGTAATCATGCCTTGTGTCTTTTCAGACCTAGATGAAAGCCAGAGAAAATAATGCAGAAAATGAAGAAATTCTGGAGTCGGAGGGAATCACGTGAACACTACAGAACCCCTGAAAACCTTTGAGTTAAAACACAGGCAAGTGGCCATGCAAATTTTTATCTTATCCTATCTCTTTCCTTAATTTGTATCAGCTGGGATGAAAATTCCTGCCTCCTCCCCCTGCCCTGCCTCATGAGAAACTACTTTATCTTATAAACCCTGGTGTACTGAGCACTCATGTAGCCAGCACAGCAGTAACAACAGCAGAGCTTCGCATCCTGGAGGTTGTGGTGGACAGGGCAGCCCAGGGTGCTCCTGAGAACAGAGACCTTCAAGGAGCTAACATGGCTTCAGGGCTGCAGACTGGCCTGAAGAGATGCCAACGGGGTTTCAAGCTGACCCCAGCATCAAGGAAAACCAGACAGATGAGGTGAAACTAAGATCAAGATTTCCCACCTTTTCAAAAGCAAAGATGAGGTGGTGGTGGAGCAAGGAGGAAGAGGGTGGACTGGGAGACCAGAGCCACCAGTTCCACACCACAACAAGCAAACCCCTTCCTCCAAAGGCTTGGGTACCCCCATCAGAGATGTGTGACTATTTTTCAAGGCTTTAGCATCATCTGAGCAGGCACCTGTCACTGTTACTCAGCATCATTGTGAACCGAGGAAATTATTTTAAAATGTGACCTTTTGGCTTGCCGTAACCTGTTTCGCAGAAAGAGAAAGGAGCCCCTCAGCCTAGCAAGGAGCAGCCCCACGGGAAAGCCCTGTTACATGACAGAGCTGTACATGCTCTGCAAGAAGTCAGACATACCCTGAAGCTGGGGTAGCAGATAGAGAACAAAATTTTCTGAAGAAGCCAGGAACAACCTCAGCCCTAAATCATCTTAAAATTACAGGGAAGGATTTCCCAAGGCATGTGCCTGCATGGGTCACCTAAGGACATCAAAGTGCTTCACTGATCAAAAGGCCCTGGGATGTAACTAGCACCTACACACCTCTCAGGAGAGGGAAAGTAAAGTACAAGAGGTGCCCAGGGCAGCCCAGATGCAGAGGTGACACTGCTGCCAGCCAGCCCCTCTGCTCTGCCAGATCAGCCTGGCTCCCACAGCTCCAGACAACCTACAGCTAGGGCATGTTCTTCTCCATGAAGGAGAAGAACAAAGACTTCTGAGGGGAGAAAGGCCAGAAGAGATATTTTTTTTATGGTTGAGATGTCTCAGGAGGGACACCGTCAGGTTAGTTTGGATAGCTGCTAAAAGTTCTCCAAAGAAAGTGGATTTTATCAGCCCATGGAGATCATCAAGCCAGCTGGGGTACACTTCAGTGCAACATCAGGCAGATTATCCCATTGCATTTCCTTCGCAATGAGAGTCAAGGACTTGCCAGTCAAACGCAATGGCTGCCAGTCAGCTCCAAGGCTCGCATATTTTGGGGTGCAGGCCAGGGAAACAGATGCCTCAACCTTCCCGCTGTTACCTCACTTGTCTAGGAGATGACTAACTTGACACTCGTTTTGCAGCTAGCACTCACATGTATGTGAGCATCCAGGCCGAAGTGCCTTTTGCTCTGAAGTACATCAGGTTTCATGGAACTGCCAATGATTAATGGTTTATTAAATAAATCCCAGAGTCAGATGTCTGTTCCAAAAATCAACTGGGCCTTAGTTTGAAAAGAAAACCACTCACATCTTCATCTGATAGACCAGGGCAAAATTATGATCAATTATTTTCCCTCAGATGCATTTCTCTTGGGAAAACCTAGATCATGCAGTTCATTTAGTGAATGAGACACAACATGACACAGACTACCAAGGCTCCAGTGGGCCGGAGCGCTGGCAGAGCCTGCTGTGCCCTGGGGGTGGGCAGCCCTGCACAAAGATCTCTGCCTGTCACTAGCTCAAGAGCAGGTCCCTCTGAGGGTCACCCCAAGGGACACAGACTGCCCTGACTGCTACCAGGTGTTTTGGAGAGAGAAGGGTCAAGTGGATCCCAGGGATGAAAAGACAGAGCTCTCCTACACAGGGGTCTTCCTGTGCCTCAGTGCCCCTTTTAGTAACTCAGGACTAACACCAGACACCATCTGGGAGGGTTTGCAAGAACTGCTAGGGGTGTAAACCTGATTTCGCTGCATTCAGAGTGCTCTTCTCAATTTACCCAAACTAGGATGTGGCCAGAGGGCTCCCCTTGCACGGAATCACTGGAGCAAGACCCTGAAGACATGGCTTCAAAATCTGCTTCTCCTGCACTACCGTTAGAAAAAAAAAAAAAAAAAGAGCAATTGATTGCTATCTGACAGCTCCTATTCCTCTCTCCTCAAACCATGGTGACGGACGACAGCTCAGATCATCTTGCACCTTGTACCACAACTTCACACATGTGATGCTGGTAAAGGGCTTGGGGAACCTAAAAGGGAGACAGTACAGAAAAGCAACAACTAACACTGACAGTAAAGTATCTGGCTGGCCAGGATATTTCCATAGCACTTACTAAATGCCAGGAAAACACAGCTTTGGTTTAGTTAAGCCTATTTTTCAAATAATAAAGCTTAGGGTAAACAAGATATGACTTCAGTATGTTAAAGTGAAGCTTATTGCTCTATTCTGGTATACCAAATATGAAACTAAATATCATTCAGGACTGCTGCCTAATCTATCCTACACAGCCTGGTGACTATAACCACCATCTCATCCAAAAGTTCAGGTGGTCTTGTAACAATTGTGTAAATAAAATACAAGTTTCTATTCACAATGAAAATTTAAATATCCTGCTTTCATCTGAAATAGTCTCCACGGGTACCAGTAACAGAGAACTACACTAGAAAGACAGAAAAAGATAAAAGGAAAATGTTTTCTCTATTCCTGCCTGTGTATTGAGTGTAGCTATTCAGTAATCTGTTTGTAGTGCATTTTTCTGCTCCCCTGCAGAGTTAGTCCTGGTTGTGCAGAAGAAATGGAGTTGTCATCAAGGGAGAAGTGCTGACCTATTGCAGACTGCTGCAGAATCAGAATGGGAAGATGAAAAGTTTGTGGCATGAAAAATTCCAAAAATTTACTCCACAGAAATGCCAAAACAAAATGCGTTTGATGGAAGTGAAACAACCCCACTTGCTGGCATGATATTTCTCAGTTTTAAATATCACATCAAATTGATACCTCACAAAGACCAATGACATTTCATTTTGAAATACTAGCTTGCAGCAGCATTTTCCATTTTGATTTTCCCAGATTTTTTTTTTTAAACATCCAATTCATTGAAAGTTGCAGTTGTTGCTAGAGCATTTTTTTTCCCTTCAGCAGAGTTGACCCTACAAAGGATGATGAGCTGCTCTCATCAGCTCGCTTCTCCTGCTGTTTGTGCAGCGGAAGAAAAGAAAAATTCTAAAACCTAGAAACCAGTTAAACCGTAAAAACCTTTAACTATGTGGTACTTGCAGCAATATTCACTACTTTTTGAACTGACTAAAATTCAAGTAATCATTGTTTATTTTACCGGACTGAGAAGCAGATATTATTTTCCTGACTAAAGGCAGGCATGCAACTGCATGCAGAATAGATGCACATATTAACATGCTGCATTAGTATATATAAACTAGGGACATTCTCAGCAGCATCTCCAGGCTAAGGCTTTTATATGAATAGCTACCTGGTTTGAATGTGTAACCATGAGGGTTAGGGATGTACAGTCAAGTGGAAGCAAACCAATGCCTACTAAATTATTTCATGGCATCCCGAAGAAGTGAGCGAGTGTTACCCTCCCTGTTTCACAGATGGAGCAGTGAAAGAGCTTCCTGACATGCCCAAAATCACAAAAAGAGCCTGAAGCAAAAGCAGGTTTTGAAGCCCTGTCTTCAGGGTCTTGCTCCAGTGATTCCACTGCAAGGCACATATGCCTGCTCTTGGCTTTAACATTTCATAGAATATGCTTTTGAGAACACTGATTCATACGTTTTTTTCTCATCTCAGTAAGACTGAAAAAACCGAGATCGTCCTCATTAAATTCTCGCTACTTTAATGGGCAATCTAATATTGAGAGAATGCAGATTACGAAGTTATAAAGACCATTGCAATTCAGTGCATTTTGAAAGAAATAAGGATGAAAGATGAGAGGAAATTATAGTTCTCTTTGTCTTTATCTGATCTCTGCAGATGAACGGCGCGTGGCGTTCCTGAGCAGCAGTCAGTGCTCAGCACAGGATAAAAGAGAGAGTTCTCTGCCCTGCACTGTGGCTCCTGCACCAGTCTCTGCTGCCGCCCAGGGCTTCCACTGAGGTAAGGAGGACTTGCCAGGGTTTAGCTACATGCTACCTTACGAAAGGGGCTGGCAGAACGGGTAATCCTCCAACAAAGCTTTAGTAAACTTAGGAAATCACCTCCAACCTGCCCTGGAGCCTTCTCCCAGCTGGCATCATGGGGATAGGCAACACATCTTACCTGCGCGGTTGCTGCCGTGACTTTGCTGCTAGTGCAAGGATTTAAGCTCAGGACGGGCAACTCTTGGCCTTCAGACTTGTGCGATTCCAGGCAGCTCTGCCTTTGCCTGATCATCCCAGTCTGATAGAGCGATTCCTCGGGAATCCTGCGGGAACAGTGTGAAAACAACATCCCTACTCGCCCATGCACACAGAGTATTCACAGGGAGGCTCAGTGGGGTAAGGAGGACACAGCCACACCATTTCACCTTCAGAAAATGAGCGTGGCAAGATCTATTAAGAGACTGAAAGACTGAGGGCAGTACATGGACAGGGACGCTGCAGAAGCAGCACTTGGAAACAGCTGGCTGACATTTCTAAGAGGAAAAAATTAATAAGACTGCACAAGGCAAACAGAAGAGCAAGGAGTAGACTGTGAGGAGGCTGAAGGTCAGCCTTCAGCTTACCAGAGCAGGGCACTCTGTAACAAACCACCACAAATCTCTGGTTCCCCGGTGAATGCTGCTGTGCAATGTCACACACGGCAAAAAAAAGCAACAAAACAGCTATAAATCATTTTCACACTGTGATTCCGCACTCTGCTGTTGTGCCAGCAGGTCCCTGGAGGCATCACCAAAACTTTTACACTCTCTTAAGTAGGGCTCCTGCTAGTCACCAGGTGAATGGATGCAACAGTTTCTGGAGTAATTTTCATGGCTAAAAGGGATCTATCTGTGCATAAGCAACTGTGGAAGTGCATATTAAGCAAAGCATTAGACTAGGAGTAAGGCAGAGCCACCTGAATACAGGTAATAAACTCCTAGAGTTGGTGGTTTGACAAAAGGGAAATCTTGAGTATTACAGAACAGTGTGAAAGGACTGGAAATTAGGTGCTTGTTTTATAACCACGAGTCATTAAATACTGAAACAACCCAACCCAGGCTGGGGTTTCCTCCTTGGGATACTTTTGTAAGGAAAACTGGCTATTTCCCTGTAACCACCTGTCCCGCAGCATGGGCAGAGGATACGCGAGGAAGCCCCAAGTACTAAGAAATAACTGGTGCTTTGCCATTTGCCAGCCCTGCAGCAAAGAGACACGGAGCCTGTAAGACTGCTTAGAGAAAGCAGGATCACAAATAAACCATGTCACACTGCGAGCAAGCTGTGTTTAAAGCCAGCACGAGATTCACGATGCCCTTCTGTGAAGCCCAAGGGAGGAGGTGCCTGAGTCTCTGGGGCTGGGGGAGGTGAGGAGACTGGAGGTACAGAGGAAAGCTCCGTGGGGCAAGAGGGATGGGGCTGGCCAGATGGCGACAGGCGGAGATTGCACTTCCTTACCGAAGTTCGGGATAAACGTTTTCCAAGTACCACTTGAAGCTATGGCATTTCAACCTCTTCCGCAGCTCCACTCTGCCCTGGACACTGTGGGAAGAAAACAACATAAATCATGAAAGGTGAGACCCAGTGTGCTGGAAAGGGAGGCTGAGACAAACCCAACAGTAATGCACAGACAACCAGACACGAGAGCATCAGCAGCTCTTATTTTCTGCTCCTTTTTGCATGAGCTTGAGTAGTCATTTTGATCTCTGTCTCTTTGGAAGTCTCACTTGGTAAAACCGCGTGATGACATATTGCCATTTTAACAAAGAGCCTGGAGTTTGCTGGCTCAAAAAGTTCATGGAAAAGCACAGTCCTTTGAAAATTATTAGTAAAATGATGTATGCAGTCTACTATATGCAGCAAGCATTAATTTACTGTATTAATGTACTCAGATATTAATACATGCTATTATAAGTTACTCTTAATTTACAGGACTACAAAAGGCCCTGACTTCCAAGAGCGCCTAAGCACACCTTTAAGTCAGCAGAAGTTAACCACACGGTGAACTCCCTTCTTTCATTAACCAGGGCAAAATTTCTGCTGAGGGATCATGCTGTATATACTGAGATTTTCCAAACTCCAGCTCCTCCCTGGGCTTACTTCTGCTAGTGCAGCTGTTATAAGCTGGCATTTACAGAGCAGTAGGAGACTTCCACTACCCTACCTTCATGTAGGCTATCTTCTCCACACCCTCATATATTTAGCACAACAGAGCTGTTACTTCATTTGGTGCTGACGGATGGGAAGAGTATATGAATTCAGTGCAAAGAGGTTAGTGACTAGGACTTCAGTTTATTTATCCTGGAGATTGAAAAGTAGCCACAAGAAATTTAGGTTTGGATTTGGAACCCTCTGTGGTCCAAATGAAACTTTCTAAGGAAAGTTTCTCTCTATAACTACCTGAAAGGAGGTTGTAGCAAGGTGGGGGTTGGTGTGTTCTCCCTACTGGCGAGTGATAGGACAAGGGGAAATGCCTTTAAGTTGTGCCAGAGGAGGTTCAGGTTAGATATTAGGAAGAATTTCTTTACTGAGAGGGTTGTCAGCCATTGGAACAGGCTGCCCAGGTAGGTGGCTGAGTCACCGTCCCTGGAGGCGTTTAAGAGAATGGTGGATGTTGCATTGAGGGACATGGTTTAGTGGTGTTGATAGGGCTAGGACAAAGGTTGGACTTGATGATCTTGAAAGTCTCTTCCAACCAAAAGTTTTTTGTGATTCTATGAAAGGAAGAATGAGTGAAAGTGAGAAATTAACACAAATACTTATAGTCTGCCTGACAGGGAGGTATTTCTGACTGTTCGCAGAGTGAATGACAAACTCCCTGCATACGAAGCACTTGTTCCTTTCCGACAAAGCCTTAGTGGGCCCAAAATCTGATGATTTTCCTGTCCCTCAGCTGCCAGCACTGACAGCAAGACCTCTGGACTCTCCCCACCAAACTCCGCTCTGGGACCAGAAGCACTCATACTGAATGCCAAGGGCAGGGCAGAGGCAGAGGGGGTCTGCCTCCACTCTCGATTCGGTTCACTCACTGGGAGAAACCAGTGGAACATACAAACTATCTGTTTATATGTTCCATTGCTGTGCTCATAGCATCTGCCTACCATTAGCATTTAATTGAGCATTACTACAGAAACAAGGCAGGCGGGTTTCCGAGCAGGGAGACATGAGCACCTACTGCAGCAGGCAGGACACAAGCAGCAGGAAAAGGCACTTACTTTCCAAAGGGTCTCCCTTGGGCTGCGGGACGAGCCGCGTAGTAGTACTGCTTGAATTCATCCATCCACACCTCTGCAGTGCGCTTGGTGTTTCTGGAGGAGGCAACAAAAGACAGGTGAAACAAAGGAAGCCTCCAAGGTGACACTTTCTAAAATCCATCCCGCTCTCTTCCCATCCTCAACTTGGTCTTTGGCTTCAACCCAAACCACCTTTGAGCCAGCCCCTCGCTACAAGAGAAGGTACTCCTCCTCCCCACTTCTCCAGGGATCAAATACAACAGGCCAAAGCTTGGGTGGAGAACTCACCATTTCAAACTCACTTGGATGCTTTGCATCCAGGAGACTCAGAAGTGAAGATTCTTTTGAGCATCATCTCCCAGGCAGGCATGGCTAGTGGCTGGGATGGAGCTCTGAGAAGTAGCACAAAATTTACCAAAGACTGAAGGCAAATATGTACTTTGCGTCAATTCTGTATGGACTCTCCTGCTTTGCACTCCTGGATTTCACTGAGGCAAATCTCAGCATTCAAAACACAAAGAGAAACTATCCTGACCACAGTGCTGGAGCATAAATGTCAGTCTTCCACGTAAGCTAGGTGACTGCAGAAGGTTTATGAACCTCAGGAAATCTTCTGTTGACTTCAGATGGCTCTAACTCTCCATGCAAATAGCTTTGTTGATCCATGCCTATCTGCCTATCCCTGCCTGGGTCAGGCAGTAATCCAAGCTCCTGCTCCAAGGCAGGTCAATGACTCTAAGCTACCACATCACTAAGCTGCAGGTGCCATGAGGTATGGTCTGGATCCAGCTAAGACCCATGTGGCTAGAAAAAAGAGATAGCCCACACATGAAGCCAGCACAGAATACAAGCCTGAGCTGTCTCTTGCACTGAAGCAGAGGCTGTGTGAAAAAAAATCAATATCTGGCAGAGAGGTGGAGATATTTTCTGCTAACATCTCTGTTTAAATAGAGGTACCACATAGCATCAGGTTGCCAGAAGCTGCTTCTCCTCTCAGTCTATATGCTATAACATCAAGTTTAAGGCTGATAGATCCCATAAGGTTAATAAAATCCCATCTCCTAATGCTTACAGATATGTTTCTCCAGGCTGCTTTTCAGCCCTTTACTGATTCATGGTGCTTCTTCCTCTCTCTAAGGCCCATGCAATAGTTTAAGTGCTCTTGCTCAATAAATGTCTAACTCACAGTGTCTACATCTAACCTTCCCCAAAACTGCAGGTTTGTGGTTTTGTGTTTTTTTGTTTTTTTTTAATCTGGCTTCCTGATCTCACTTGGATTTATAAGAAATATGGGGATAAATGCTGCAGCTCACACTTAGGCATTGATTCAGACCTCCTCACAGTCCCCAGGTGCCTGTGCCTGAGGTGCAGCCAGAAGGGCTGTACCCATTCAAGCTCCCCTTGCTCCTCCTGCAGGTGATGTGACGCAGATGCTACCTTTTCGTTCAGCTTTGCAGTGACTGACACTGGAGATTCTGCCACATACCAGCTTCTTCTGTAAGAGTCTTATTACCCTACTAAAAGCAAAAGCTCTCCTAGTGACTCTCAAACTTGTGCCCTCCTCCTTCATGCCAGCAATGCCTTGCACCCCCTCACTGTCTTCTTTTTGAAGCAAGGTGACAAGGTCCCCTCCCTGTCCAACACATTGCATGGCTGGAAACTGCATATTAGGTATAACTGAGAGATGTAATTTGCACTCCCCGTGCTCGTTAACTTATGCAAAGCATGGGGAAACTGCAGAGAGCTCAGCTCAGTGGTAACCCTGCTGCAGCTTCACAAATACTGCCGGCTCTTTATAACACTGGGAAAGCCACACTAAAAGGAGTGCCTGGTGTGTGAGCACTCACAAATGCAGTTTAGCTGAGAAACAAACCCTGCATTAAGTATAAGTGCCCCCGGGGGTTTTCTCTGTCATTTACTTAATGGACGACCTTTAGCCACATGCTCTAAAGGAGGAGGAAATCCTGCCTGACTTTACTAGCTGCTCCCATCATCTTCCCAATCCTGATTCCCACTCCTTGACTATCTCCTTCCCCATCTGCTGTTTCCAGGACCTTGGCCCATTTCAGCCACATGGTTCAGTATCTGATTCGGTCTCTGTTCTTGTATGTGAAGATGGATCCTCCTCAGCTGGGATGCCCTGGCAGCTTTCTGGGTGGTGCCACCAGTGAGGTGCAGCCCATCGCTGCCCCCTGCTAGAGAGGCAGCATCAGCCTGGAGGCAAAGCTGCCCACTCCAGCACGCTGCTCTGCTCCTCTCTTCGAGAGGCGTCAGGAGCCGAATTTTCTGGTTCAGCTGAGCCACGCTCAGCCCTCAGCTAAGGTTGCCGAGTACTGACAGACATTGTCGGCAGCCTGATATCAGGTCATTACAAATGTGTTCTGACGACCTTAGGGTCTAAACCATTTGCTGTTATGGTAGCTAGCGCTCAGCGAGATGCTGGGGTCATCCCTCCATTTCTGTGCTGATGAAAGGTGCCATATAAGTGTCCTATTTCTGTCATATTCTCAAGACTGTAGAAATTCTAAAGGAGAGTTGTACTGACTTGCATTTTCCTCAGCTCAGGAGATTCCAGCCCAGGGATATTTCAAAGTTTTCCTGACAAATTTTCCTCCCTATTTTCTCTGCTCCCCAGTCCCCACAAGGCAACACCTCATACCACTACACAAAAACTAAGCAAGCACAAAACACCTACTTAATGTATGTATTGGCGTTTCCCTCTGGAAAGACGTACGGATGTTTCTTCCGGAAGACGTGTCCAACACGGCTGCAGGGGATGATTTCCAGGCTCCCTCCACACATCCACACACGGAAAGAGATTTCTACAAGAAAAGCAGCTTCAGCATTTTGTCTTTCTGTCCTAGAGCAGGCTGGATCCTGGTGTTACCTCTCACTTCATCTTCTGCCACATTAAACTGGGGTAAATCAATTACCAAAGGGGCTTTCCTAGGCACAACTCCCTTAAAAGCCCATTTCAAAGCTTCTTGCAATCTGTTTGAAGTCAGTGCACTTGAAGCCTGCCTATAGCACAGCAGGTGCTATCACAACGGCAAGAGACAGTAAGTAGGTCCCTTTTCATGCAGCCCCACTTCATCGCAGAATCATCTTGCCAGGTCTGTGCTCCTGTAATTACTTCTGCACTGCCTATTTCAGAGTCGCTTCCCTCCAAAGTGCTGTCAAGTTCACTAGGAGAGGCCACGAATTCTGTTTATTAATGACTACAACCATCATTATCTTTATGAATCCACCATTGATTCTGCAAAGTGAACAGAGAGCTGTGCATCCATCACCTGTCTCAAAAGGGACAGGACCTTCCTGTGCCCAGCATATACTCCGGGCTGTGAGGGCACATACCTTCACACAAGCACAGGTCAGTGGCAGGAGGAATTATCCCCCAAAAATCTAGATAAGCTGTCAACACAGGACATATCTCTCAGTCGCCCAAAGCTGCTCTCTGGCTGGTCCATGGGGCCCTTCTAGAGGAAAACAAGCCTGTGGCATAACTGATACCAGAAGTTATGGGGCTCTTGGCAGGGAGCTGGATGAAATCCTAGCTGGCGAGGTAGGATGGGTGAGCAGAATGGCTGATCTAATGGGTCCATCTGGTCCTAACGCCTGTGAAACTATGAATCTGCCGCTATATTGTCAGAAAGTCATGCTTAGACAGAACCAGCATGGAAAAGAAACTAAATTAAAAAGAAAAGGCTTCTGCAGTTCTTTGCATCCTATTTTACCATCTGCTGACAGTATAGAGCTACATGTAGCATGTTTTTACCCCAAAACTACGAATTCCTTTTCACTCCCCAAACCTCCTTTAATTACCGAAGTCAGACAGGAGACCACCCATCGTCTTTGCCAGCTCATGCTCCCAGCAGTCCTCTCACACATGCCAGCACAAGGATGACTTGTCCCCAGGTTGGATGTTGGCAAGACAAGTGCTTGTGTTGGGAATGTCACTTTGGCAGTATGGATAGGAGTCTTCCTCCTCCTCCACTGCCAGCCTGCAAAGCTGCTCTCCCTCCAAAAACAACCCACAACTTCAAGGAGCAAAACAGGATTGGAGCCTGGACCTCCAAAGCCTACTCTCAGCACATGTGGCTCAGACACCAGGTGAATGTCGCTGCAGAGGTGGGAGCCTCCTTCACATCACTTTCGTTCCTGCTTCCAGCACACCCGCTTGCTCCTGCGCTGACGGAAAGGGGAAGCTGGCATAGCCACAAAACCCTCTGGCCTTGATGCCCCGGACCAAAGGTCGAGGCTTGAGCGCATCCTCAACAGCTGGTCCTGTCAGCAAAGGCCAGCAAGGGCTATGGTGGGAAAGCACAGCAGGGAGAAGTATTTTTTTTTTCATAAATCCCCTCCCTTCCCCTTCACTGGTGTGTTTACAGTCAAGAGCTGCAACAGCAGCTGGAGCCTCACCACCTTCCCCAGCGCTGGGCATTAACAGGCCAATAAAACGTACCCTTGTGCCGTGTCCTGGTGCTATATTAGGAGCAACCTTAATCACAGCTGCAGGGAAATGAGATTACGGCAGGATGTGGCCGCCCTAAGCTGCTGCACTCAGTCCAGCACTGCTGTGTAACTCAGAAGGATGCCCGATCAAAGGAGGACAACCCGCCAAGCAGCCGTGAACCACAGTGTGGTTTTTGTGTTATGTCTTCCCTCCTCTGCTATTTCTGCTCTGCCTGGAAGAAGAGCAGCTACCCCGAGGACCTCCAAGGGGAAGTCTTGCACTGTTCAGTCCTTGTCTGCTCTTAATTTAAAGCCTAATGAAGAGGTGAGATGAAGTGATCTCTGTGTGATGCGAACTGGAATTAGAACACAGTGCTGTGGAGGCAGGAGATGGCGAGGAGTCCGAGCTCTCTGCTTCAGACACACCGCACCCCACAGACTCTGCTCCAGTATCAGCAGAAGCAATTACAGCGCAAGTTTCAGCAGGTAGGGATGACCTGTGGAGTCATGTGTGGCAGCAAACAAAGAAGGTCTCCAGACTAGCAGCTGAGAGCTAGATGCCTCAGGAGGAGGTAAACTGAGGCACCACTGAAAGCTTGGCATGGGGCCAGCTCAGAGGAGCCGGGGGAGCTTCAGCATGCTTCACCTGACCCTCGAGAGATGTCTCCAGTGTGAGTGGCCCCTCTGAGCGACGCCCAGGAGAGATAAAAACAGTACATGTGTGGGCACACTGGGCTTGGCAAAATGCCTTCAGCACTTCTTGCTGGCCTGAAAGTGCTTCTGCCATTACTCACCAATTCACCTACAGGGAATTAAGGAAATTTAGTCCTCCTTCTAACCCCAACACATTTGGTTTTGTTTGGCCTGAAGTCTCCAGCCCCCTCTAGCTGCCCAGTCAATAACATTAAAGGCAGCAGCGGTGCTCCCCAGGATCAGAGTCCTGCATCTGCTCAGGACTAAATTACCAGAAAAAGCACGGTTCGCTCCAAGTGCCCCAAATGAACAGCTGCTTGATCATCTCCTGCCCTCTGCCACCTTCCCAGAAGTCACTGGGGACAGCAGGGTCACAGCTGCCCTTTCCTGTGTGCAAAGGAGGTGGGACAAGCTGCCCTTGACTGCAGGATATGCAGCTTTGGGCTGAGCACACTTCTGCTCTCAGGGTGATGGGATCTGCCCTGCTGCTATACAGACCTGCACTTTTTTTTAATGTGGTGTTAACTTGCCTTGTGTCCCTTTGTCATGTTGATGCTCTGAAGCAGCCTCATGCCCTGCAGCAGACAACACACATTCAGATGGGACCAGCATCCATAGGCATAGCACCAGTAAGCAAAACATCACACTTCATAGGATGGACCATAACCAGGCATAAAGAGCACAGGGCGTAGAACAAGCTGTCAAGGTGGAGCCTCCCTGGAAGGCAAGCTGCCCCGTCACTGTTCATATCCCAGGAGCAGCTCGGGCTGGCTGCTGTCAGAGACAAGTGACGAGCAGAGATGGACAGCAGGTCAGGCACAGCACGGCAATCCCTCTCCTCCTCTCTAGTTCTCTTCCTGGATGCTTTGTTTGGGCCACTGATCCAGCCAAGGAGGTGGGAGGGCTGCTGCTCCCCCTCTCAGATTTCCTCAGAGGCACCCCGCTCAGAGGAGCAGATGCTTTGGGTCAGTCCATTGGAAAGACACCACCCACAGAGAGAAAGCACGAAGGAGCAAGATCCTACTGCATGACAAGATATATGAAAATAAATAAGATATGCTAGAGGAAAAAGGCATGTGAAGGAAACAACAGTGCCAGGCAGCGGATGGGTTACTGCAAGGCGGCAGCATCTGTTCCCTTGGATGACTGACAGCATCACTGTATGTGTTAAGACAAGATCCTTCCCTCCTTGCTAGCCACACTCCCCAGAGGTGTGAGCTATTAAAGCCAGGTTCTGATCTGTCTCCCTGACATTGTGTGCCTCCCTCTTCTTTCACGGATACAGTCTATTGCGCTGATCTGCAGCAACGCTACGGCTTCAAAGAGAGAACATCCCAGGCTGATCCAGCTCCGCTTGACACGGAGGACAAAGGACAGGCTGTTACCTCTTTCATGTGCCTTCCTAAGTTCTCATGTAGGAGACTTCTTAATGCCAATCTTGCTCAATGATAATGGGCAGAGGTGACTGAATATAGGTCAGCTCTTAACCTTTTTTTTTTCATGCAGGAAAAATGACAGCGTCAAGGAGAACCCGGCAGCGCTCAGCGATTCAGAGACACAGGAATGGAGAAGCAGCCACGTTACTTTGCCATCTGCTTGCAGTAGGCCAATGGAACTACTATTTCAGGCACTCTGCAAATTCAGGGAGACACTGATGTCTCAGTTTATAGCTTCAAAATGCTCTCATCAGACAATGGAATATGTCTTTGCTTTACCAATGAGAAAACAAGATCAGGAAGGAAAAGGGGAGCATGTGTGGTGTTCTCTCATCTGTTGGTAGGACTAAAGCTGGAAGCTCTGTGAGCTAAGGTATTTAACTATAGAAAATCAAAGCAGTGTGGAAGTCTTGAGTACTAACGATTGCTCGCTTCCCATTGCTCATGGTTGTTGGGTCCCTTATTCACCTGAGGCCACAACATACAAATGTAAGTGAGAACATTCCAAGCAAAGGTCTAAAATGACCTTGAATCCATTTGGCATGACTCAGGAAGAGAAGCCAACGCAGTAAGGAGGAAGAAGAGTGACTCACCGAAGTTCTCCCCACCCCAGATATCCATGGCACTGTCGTACTTCCCCAGGTGGTTGAACCAGGCTTTGTCGATCACAAACAGCCCCCCGGCAATGATGGGAGTCCTGCAGAATGGGTAAGTTAAGAGGAAACACACTCTCAAACACTGCTGCACCACCTGGATGCACAGAAGCAGCTCTTCTCTTCGTCGCCTCTTTCATTGTCAGGACATTACCTATGTGTATCCTTCCCACTAAACAAGGACAACACACCTCAAAAAGCATAGGAGCCCTTCTTTCAGCCGCCTTGGTATTTTGCTGTCAATCTTAAATTGCCTGGCACATAATGACTGGCTAATGCACCTGTCAGCACAACTCCTACAAGCCCAAAGTTCACAGCCCTGATTGTAGGCTTCAGCATCAAAAATGCACTTAGCGCTCGGGGGGTTATTCACTCAGACCGGCTTTTTGCCTGGAGCCAGTCTATTATGAGCACTGTTCGACTGGGGAGGGGAAGGCACAGCCAATTCAGAAGGGCTTTTTAAAAGCCATCACTAGCTGTGTGATCTTTATTTCAAAACAGGGTTATTTTTCACTCTTTGGATTAGATAAGAAAACTGCACAGAGAAGGCATGTGGAGGAGGGAGGAGGGCAGACCCAGAAGATAGCTTGAAGAGACTTGCCATTTGCTGGCACAAGTCCCATCTCCATTCAATTGCCAACGATGTGGATGCCTTGGCGTAGGCTTGGGAGGAGCTGGGGTGACTGCTGCGCCTGGGCTAGTCCCCACAGTGCCCTACATGGCTGGATGACCAGGGACAGAAGGAGAGCCTTTGGAAAGCCAGTGAGAGTTCCTGTTAACAATAGCATCCTAAGGAGAAGCAATGCTTTGCTCCCCTGTGAGCTTTCCAAGGCCCTGCGCTTCCCCCAAGACTTGGTCTTCTCCATGCAGCACAACCCAGTGCTTCATGTCTGGAGGTGCAGGCAGCAGCACTAGGCTTGCTGCCAGAAGACATTTTCAGCAGAATGAATGACTCTCCCTCCGTCCCACAGCATGAGGACAGATGGCATCTTTCCCATTCAAGTTTTGCTATCTCTCCTTCGCATCCTGAACTTCACAGCAAGTTCCAGAAGAACATCGCTGAATCTGGAAAGGCTGGGCACACACCACATTTCCATCAATTGGGCTGAGCACACTGGCTTAATTTTAAGTGACAGCTGGGCTGAGAGAAGCAGGGGTCTAGAGCACTGGGCTTTTTCCCTAACCATATTCAGCCTCCTTAACACTACCAAAACTCAAATAACCAGAAGTACATTCCTTCTACCTTTGTAGCATCCTCGCACTTCAGTGCTGGAAGGTGAAAACGTACTGTGAAACCCAAGGAATTCACTATAGGCATGAGAAGTTCGGAACTGTCCTAGAAGGAATATCATACTGCTATGGTGTATGGAGTCATACATGGGGTAAGATAAAATGCTTGTCCTGCCCCACATTCCCCAGGTGCCTCCTTCCCGCTCCTGACTTACTTAATGGGTGCAGTGGGATCGAGTCGTTTGGCTTTCTGCTCTGGGGTAAGCTGCTCCCATTTGAAATGCAGACTCCAGTCAAAACCTAAAACCAAAGTAGAGAAGTATCACGGGGAAATCAGAAATGGGTACAGATTAGCAGGCAATGTAGGCTGCAGAAGCCGTGCTTGATGGAGTATTTTTCCTCACTTCCAAATGACTTAAGTCATGGAGATGCAGCTCTTGGGAGATGAGTCCAATGACTAACACATTTTACTACTGCATATGAACCAGAAACAACACATTGTATTACAATTGCAAAGTCAAGCACTCCAATGGCAGGAAGAGTCAGAGCTAAAGCTGCTGCTGAAACCTCACTTTGTCCCCTTGTGCACACATAGAAACACGCTCTGATGGGTAGTGTGTGCTACAAAGAGCACAGGCATACTAATAAATGCTCCAGTCACATCTTCCATTTGTTGCCTAGACATCCCCCATCTCCTCCTGTCGGGAGCCTGGCTTTCAGTGCTGCCAAAGGTGGCTTCAACACGACCCTTCTTTCCTGCTTGACCGCCTTTTCCACTGTAGCAAACACCATTTCACACGCCACGCTTACCTGTCTCTAAAATAGCCTGAAAACAGCCAGCGGGGAGCACTGAACAGTGCTAACACGCTTTTTTGCAAGAGAGCAAGTGCCAGCGGTGGTGTAGTGCAGAGCCCCCAGCTCCTTGGGCCAGTGCATGTTCACACTACAGGATGGATGCCCATGGGGCATGCACATGGCTTGGACTTACCTCCTCTGAGGTCTGAGGAAGCTGCCACATAGGCAAAAGTGTCCAGGTTGATGATGTCGATAACGGGGCTGACCACACGGGTGGGATCCTGGAAGGCAGAAGTGAAATGACCCATGACTTCAGATCACACCATTCAAACTGGTCAAGGGATGCCCAAAGCTCCTGGAGACACCAGGTGCCTAGAAATCGTGGTGTCATTCAGGTTTGTCAGGGACAAGTGCCCACAGCTGCCTCCTTCTCCTCAGCCACCAAACCACAGAATCATAGAATCATAGAATCACAGAATCATAGAACTGTCAGGGTTGGAAGGGACCTTAAAGATCATCTAGTTCCAACCCCGCACCATGGGCAGGGACATCCCCCACTAGATCAGGTTGCCCAGAGCCCCATCCAGCCTGGCCTTAAAAACTTCCAGGGATGGGGCTTCCAGCACCTCTCTGGGCAACCTGTGCCAGTGTCTCACCACCCTCACGGGGAAGAACTTCTTCCTAACATCCAATCTGAACCGATCCATCTCTAGCTTCAATCCATTCCCTCTAGTCCTATCGCTACCCGACATCCTTAAAAGCCCCTCACCGGCTTTCTTGTAGCCCCCTTGAGATACTGGAAGGCCACAATAAGGTCTCCTCAGAGCCTTCTTTTCTGCAGACTGAACAGCCCCAACTCTCTCAGTCTGTCTTCACAGGAGAGGTGCTCCAGCCCTCTGATCATCCTCGTGGCCCTTCTCTGGACACGCTCCAGCACGTCCATATCTTTCTTGTGCTGTGGGCTCCAGAACTGGACGCAGTACTCCAGGTGGGGTCTCACAAGAGTGGGGTAGAGGGGGAGAATCACCTCCCTTGACCTTCTGGCTACGCACCTCTTGACCAAGGAATTAACAGCAGCAGCATCAAGCGGCAGAGGTCTTGCTGGGAGCCAGGGAAAGCAGGCACCATCTCTCCTGGGAAAGCGGACTGGGTGCTGCTGGGCTGCCGAGCTGGCGTCTCTCACTGGCTTTGGCCTCACCCACAGCCTCTCCCACTGCAGGCTGTGCGTGTACTCAGCACTGAACTTGGCTGGACCAAAAGCTCTGCCTACCTTTTGCAAATTCGCCAATGTATTCCCTCAAATACTTTTTACTGGATTTCAGAAGTCAAGTGACAAACAGGCAGTTGAAACAACAAAGGAAAAACACAGGCAGTCAGGCAGCTTAAATACAGGTATTTTAAAAATGTGCAAGCTATGGGGATACAGTAAGAGTTTTGCCAAAGGTGTGAAAGGGTTAAAAAAAAAAAAGAAGACCTGAGTTGGTGGTGGTTTAATTAACATCTTGTTATGGGCAAAGAGATTATACAAACAGTTATGAACAAAAATATCTACAGAAGGAAGAGACTGTGACAGCTTTGACTGGTCTCTTATCTCCCTTTTTCTTTTCAAAAACCCTAAACTCCAATTATAGCTCAAACTTCCAAGGTTTTACCCTCACCAGATCAAATAGTAACAGCCATGCAAAGGAAAGCATCTGAGCACACATGGGCTTGCTTTATCCCTCAGAAAAGACTTTGTTTAAGAAATTAGTCCTAACAAAGAAGTATTCAAATGCAGCTGTAGGAAGAAGAAACCAAAGGCAAGGAGCTGGAAGCTGGACTACAGCTCAGGTTTTCCAAATAAGCATGACAAGTATTTGGTATTTCCATAACAGTGCCAAGTCAGGAGTCTGTCTTCTAGTCAAACACCCCACTGAAAGGGCAAGGTATCTACCCACCACAGGGAGAAACCTTCTCCCTGCCTCAACTTCCCTGCCATGCCATTGGGACTTTAATATGTAGCTTTCATGAAGGTCTCTCTGAGCCTCAACAGAAAAACACAGCATGCTCAGGAGCACAGCACTGTTGCTATGCTTTATTTCAGGCTGAGCACCAGATCTCATTATAGGCAGCTTCACCCCTCTGTTTTTTTCATACCTTCCTATGCCAGAGCATGTTAATATTAACAACACTCAAATCTTCAATCCTCTTTCACAAGAAATTTTCAAAAATTGTGGAACTAAATCAACAGGAAAAAACTCAGAAAATTGTCCTGAAAATACTGGATACATTTCAGAGTTGTTAAAGGACGCTGACTGCAGCTTGTGGCCCAACCTCAACATCATGACCTTGTAAGGGTCAATAAAAAGGGCCACGGTTGCTCCTCTGGACTCACAACGACATCAGACAAGGTGAGAGGGCCTGGCTGCCCCTCATCTACCCCAGGAGAGTATCAAACTCAGTGGGATGCTTGAGCTCGAAGTAGAGGGAGGTCACCATCCACTGGTTCATCCCAGTGCCATTTAAAAATTCAGTTTTGTAGCAAATTCTTTGAGTCATACCGTAAAAACACCTTGGGTTGGATAACTGCATTTTTAGAAAATTATTCAGGCAAAATGCACCACTAAAGGCTTCAGAGATATTTGTTCTGTAAGTAAAAACAAGAGCGTGAGCCCACGCACTCACAGTCATTTGCTCACAAACACAGCGGGTGCAAAACACCCGCTGTCGCTGCTGCTCCTTAGGATGTGCACCCTTCTGGGCACAGGTCTGAGACCCTCTGGATCCCTTCTCTTCCCGCCCCACCACATCACTTACTCTCAAGACTTTCTAGTCCTGAATGCTTCCAATCCCACACGCTGGGCACGTGCTGCCCACATCCGAAAGCACCCGTGGGCCTGGGGAGGGGTGCCACCAGCAGCTGGGAAAGCTCAGCGTGGCACTCAAGGGGCACCTTCACACGTGTCCATGGGGGTGCTTGGTGGCACACACAGGCTCCAGTGTTTCCCACCATGGAAAGCTGCAGGAATAGCTGCTCTGGCTGAGAAAGTAAGAGAGGAGCAATGCACACGATGGCTGGTGGTGGTGAGAGCCACTCACTACTCCTTAGCTTGAAACTCAAATCACATTAGCTCGAAGCAGACGGTTCCGAGGAGGAACACGTAAGATGTTCCTAGGCGGCTGATGCTCACCGCCGCGGTCGGACCGAGAAGCCATCTCTTTAGCACAGCCTGAAGGTGGCAGCAGTCACATTTCATACACTTCACTGATCAATATTTTAACCCTGATGGAAAGGATCAGTACGGTGGGCTTGGGAAGAAGGGAATCCTGCAGTTTTTGTGAGCGAGCAAGTGGGATCCCACTTGCTTTGCAAGTCCCTCAACACTCTTTGTAGTGAGTCTCCCTTGCTGCCTGGGCTGCAAGACACCGGGCAGGGTAAGAGTGGCATGAGCAGCAGTGCAAGTTTACAGACTGCTTTACTTCCAGCTAGAGGAAGATTTAACCCAGAAGAGAAAACAGAAATAAGTTCATGAAGATAGCACTTGCATTTGATGCCACATTCAGACCGCGATGCAGTGAAACTCCTACAGCGATGCTGCACGTGATACCCACTTTCGGCCACCTCGCGGGCGCTGAACATGGGGCACAGTCCTGGAGCTGCGTGGGAAAGCACCTCTGCCTGCCCCCTTCCTGCTAACACCGCTGCCCTTCTCCTCCTAAACCACGTCAAAAGCTCTGCAGGGGAAAGAGGTAATTGCTCCAGATGCTCCTCACGGAAATCCAGCAGGGCTTCAGAGCACAGGCTGCCCAGGGAGGTTGTGGAGTCTCCTTCTCTGGAGACTTTCAAAATCCGTCTGGATATGTTCCTGTGTGACCTACTGTACGTGATCTTGCTCTGGCAGGGGGGCTGGACTAGATGATCTCTAGAGGACCCTCCCAATCCCAAACCTTCTGTGATTCTATGATTCTGCAGGCAACAAGGAATGCCTGCCTTAAAAAAACTCAGAGGAACAACGATGCAATACAGCTTAGTGGTGAATCCCAGCCTGGGGCAGGCCACCTACGAGGCTCGAGTGGTATCATAGCACGTGTTCTTGTAATTCCACCAGAGATGCGATCGATGACATGAAAAGGCCATTTTCACTACGTTACCATTTATCAGCAGTGCTGCGGCCCAGCCTGCAAAGTGAGGTTGGGACTTCTCCAGTGCTGGCTGCCCTCGCCTACTGTGGAGGGATCTGACTGGATGCTGTCCCATCACTGCCACACACTGGGGACATGCAGCCCAGCCAGCACAGCTGTCATGTACAGAGGTCTGAAGAGCAGGACACCTTGAATTAGGGGCACCGTGAACACCAGCCGAGAAGGTTTCTCCATAACCCACTGCCTCAGCTTCCCCTTGCTCCTCAGCTGCCCTTATTTCAACGTAATTCAGTAGTTTTAAAATTACTGACTAATAAATACTAGCAATCAGGAGCCAGAAGTGTAGCAAGGGTGGTGGAACGAGGCAGGGCAAAGGGAAAGGATCACACGTCTGTGACGGAGCTGAAGGCTTCATCCCCTGCACCGTGCCAGCAGGTCACCAGCACAGAGTTCCCTCTGACCCAAGTGACAAGGCACTGCCAGCCTCCACGCACATGTCTGGTGACAGACTCGCCACTGGCAAAAGGCGAATGTCATTGTCTGCTCGGAAATCAGCAGAATGTAAATCCCATTAAATCAATTTATTAGCGCTTAATTTGCATGAAATTAAATTCGGCCCCTATTCAAGGAGCCGTCACTCCCTTAAATCATCAGCACTGAGCGTTTTACATGAGTCTAATTAAAAACTCTGCTGGAGCACTGCCCACACACTCCCCGTTCACCGCACAACCTGTGCTTGCTGGTTAGAGCCCCACTGCCTCGGGAGGCTCCTTGTCCCACTACCTCTCCCAGTCATGGAGACAACTCCACCTGTCTGCTGAGTGGAGGAACACCAGCAAAATTCACTTTGCGCACCAAAAGCTCATTGCTTTCTTACTCAGATGCCTGCACGCAGTTGGTTATGGTTGAGTGGTCGTGCCCCTTGGGAGGGCAGAGGAGGGGACATCAGCGACGCATCCCTTGAGGGTGGCCCTGGTCTCTCAGGAGCACTCACCTCTTTGACCCTCTGCAGCAAAGGGAGCAGCCAGTCCTTATTCACCTCGCAGTGACTGTCAAGGAAGGTCAGGACTCCTGCTCGTGCCACATCTGCCCCTCGGATTCTGGACCGGATCAGACCTGTTTGGGGACACACCAAGTCAGCTCCTGCCCAAATCGATGGGCTCCTCCAGCACGGTCTTCTGCACTCGTGCATCTCCTGGGTTGTGACCCATCTAAATTCCACTCAATATAAAATGCAACTTGTGTTCATTGCCTCTTTCCCAGTGCAGCAAGGCACAGCAACTGCTTCCCGAGGTCACCAAAGCAAATAAATTACTCCACCTAGATTAATGACCAATTATGCCAATCCTTAAGTTGCGTGATTATTTCTGCTGTTTCCTTCTGGGGCAAAACACAACTTGAAATGCTTCCGAAACATCCCGCAGGTAATAAACCTAACATAGGCTTAAGTCAGTGGGAAATGGGCCAGGGAGTCGAGGGTGGGATCACTTCTTGTCAGAATCATGCTTTTCTTAGGCTTCTGACTTTCTCCTGCTGTGCCCCTTTCCGTGTACAAGTGACCCCCAAATCTCCCTCCCACCCCTGGAAGCACTGCTGATTCGCAGCTTAATGGGAACACATTTTCAACCAAGAATAGAGGGTCAGTTCTCAGTTACCAAGATGCTAAGAGCCTGCTTGGATCACCAGGGTTCTGATGGTAAATTTAGAGTCTTTCAGAGCTGGAGACAGATTGCTGCATGCGTTTGTGAGAGAGAAAAACGAACAAAGAGGAAGGTCATGGAAAACAGCTGTATGCATGGATTTCACGTGGATTTGAAAAGATCACTGCTCTTAAAGGTGCTCTTCTATGTATGCAGGAATCAATCAGCTTCCCAACACTCCTCTCGCCTACAGTCAACGCTGTAAGTGTAAGAAAGGAGATGGTCCGCTGGCAAACGGGACAAGCAGGTTGCTCAAGGGGAGCTTCCTGATGACAGAGAAACAGCAGTAATACAAGGGGAGACAGGGGCAGATAAGACAGGAGGGTTTTGGGAGCAGCAGCACCTGTGGTCCACAAAGGAGGTGGTCACTGACCTTTATATTAAAACTCCATAGAGGAAAGAGGCCAAGGAACAGCCTCTGACCAGGAGGAAGAGGGACAGGAGAATGAAGCCTGGAGCAATCCACTATTTGCTGAGGTCACCTCCTGCAACTGAGGTTGTCCCCATATCTCTCTCTGCAACTTCTAACACTTTGTGGGTAGCTACAGTCTGCTGTACCCACCCCAGCCCTCCCCCGATCCTGGCAGGTGCTGAGGTATACAGCTTCAGTGACCTACTAAGTGAGGCAAGCCTTCCGAGATGGATTTCCAAATCCTGACTGCTTTATAGAGCACCAACACCTCCAGGTTTATCCAGTGCTAGGGCCGAGCATATATGTACCCCAAAAATACAGGAGAGAAGGGTGAGGAGGTGTAGACCTATGGAGACCTCTCCTACTCTCCTACCAACACAGATATGCGTCTTACACCCATGGCTGGGTGATGCCACCCTGCCAGACTTGCAGAGATAAAAACCTTCTGAGGAAAGAATACACAGACAAACCCTCCCCACTCCTCAGTCTCTCCAACTCAACACACACCTGGACTCAAGCCTTCAATTTTCAGCATGAAAAAACTTCTTTGTTTTTTGTTTTCCCAGTACTGCAAAGCACGACTTGAAAACATCCATTCAGACTACAGGGAGCTGGGAAATGTCTCAAAAGGTTGCCAGCAGCAGCCCAGTGGGGCATGCATTCATCCTCTATATGGCCCTTCTTAATCTTTCAAATATAATTAATTAATTTTAAAAAAAATCCCGCAGAAGCAGCAGGAGCAGATCTCTTCTCTTTCATTAGAGCAAACATCTTTAAATATAAGACCCGGGGCTTTGTTTTGCCTGTTCCAATTTTCTGGTTAATAAGCTACAGCTGAGCCTCATTGGATATCATAATAGTCCCATCTCTTTCAGTGAGAGAGGGGGGACTCATTTTAAATCCCAGCCCTTTATCACATCTCCTTTTATCAGGTCCCCTTGTCCTCAGAAGCTGCTCACCTTTCCAGCTGCCCACTCCATGGACATCCCACCAGGCCCCATCTCTCTCACACCTCCCAAAATTTGGGTTTCCCACCTGGGTCGTGACCAGGCAGCTCTTACCTTCTCGCCGTCCATTCCGCAGGCACTTCACCTTGGGGAGCTTGCCCAACAAGTGGCAGTCATCAGCTTGGGAAACACAAAAGGAGGATATGTCACCCGCAGCCCTCATGGTGGCTCTGGCTGCAGAAATCGTCCTAGAGAAGAGTTGGAGCTGGGAGAGGATCCCATCCTGCATCGACCGATGGCTTATTAGGGTGATGGCACTTCTGGGGCACAAAATTCTTACCCCTCAGCTCATGCAGTGTGCATCAGGACTAGCAGAGTAGCAGCTTTCATAAAACTAGTGTAAACCCAGCAGATTTACATCAAGAATTACACTTTCAGGTCAGCTTAGAAGAGACTTGGTTGGGGTCAGAGTTGTGCAAATCACTATTTTTGGTAGCTGCAAAGTGACGTGTAAGCCATTTGACGCATATCTGTGTGGTGGGGCAGAAGCCTCCCGAGGTGGCCTGCGAGCCCTAAGCGAGGAGAAAGGGATGGTCAAAGAGCCCTGTGGAGCATCCAAGGGCTCCTCGTGCCCAGGGCAGCAGCACCATGGGACAGAGCAGCCTCACAGCCACCCGCACCCAAGTTAGGTAGATCTAAGAATCACAGAATCATAGAATAGTTTGAGCTGGAAGAGACCTTGAAGATCATCAAGTCCAGCCTTTGTCTCAGCCCCTATCAACCTACTAAACTACATCCCCCAGTACAACATCCACTCATCTCTTAAACACCTCCAGGGACGGTGACTCAACCACCTCCCTGGGCAGCCTGTTCCAATGCCTGACAACCTTCTCAGTAAAGAAATTCTTCCTAATATCCAACCTGAACCTCCCCTGGTGCAATTTAAATACACTTCCCCTTGCCCTATCACTCTCCATAAGGGAGAACAGACTAACTCCCACCTCTCTACAACCTCCCT